GAGAGAGAGAGAGAGAGAGAGAGAGAGAGAGAGAGAGAGAAACAGCTCTATTTGACGCAGCCGCAGTTCGGTACGCCAAACGTCTTGTGATATTCAGTCTGTCAAAACAACAGTCCAGGTTCAATGGGTAATCAGTATGAGAAATGATATTACGCTCGACCAGATTGTAGAATATGTGCTGAAAATGTCATGCGCACCGGTTCGCGCAATCAATTTTCGAAATGCTAAGGTCTTAGTCGGGTCACCGGCGCTCCCCTTCATTAAGTCATCGATCACATACAACTTGATCAAGCAGGATCCGTTGGCTGCTTCTCAGAACTGTGTGTGATCTTTTGTCATGCATATTGTCAGCGACCTAGACGCGATGTCTAGACGAGTCGTAATTGCAGACAACATTAACGTACATGTGAAACGATGACACGAAGTTTCTATCATTAAGGGTACCAACTTTACACTCACTGTTTTGTTGTGTAATGCATATAGCTACAGCTGAAATTAATGTAAATTGCTGAGAAGGTCAGCGTCTAAGTCCGCAATTTCGCGTCCCTTGTTGTTCGGGATTTTATTTCGTTTATTTTTACTGCAAAGCAAACTCGCGCCTAAAGCGTAGTATTGTTTATGCTATGACGTAAAGCGCAGTATTGTGTAGTATTGTGTACGCACGAATTGAATGCAATGGGTAGTTTGTGTACGTGCTTACCAACCGCTAAAAAGGGAACGTTGCGTGGATCCTAATTAGTATTGCTGAACTGCAAGACAAGACAGAGAAGGGCTTCAATGAAAGTGAGAGAAATCGACGCATGAGTCAAAAGGCGTGTATGTTTGGAGATTATCTTGCTTTGACCAGAATAAAAAAAATAACTTCAAATGAAACGTTAAACTTGGTCGGACTGATATTCACTCAAATATACAGAACTTCCTGGCGTACGAGAAATGAACACGTACAAGTAGTTGCTTCTAGTTTATCAAATTCACTAATAAACAATTAGCTTTGACAACTCTTAGCGGAGTAGCTGTCAATCACTCTACCACACTTTCTGGCCTTTTTTTGCTTTTCGTTCTTTGTAACACAATATTAACACTTTCATCTAACTGGCAGTTGTTTTGTGCTCTGTTCGTTGTTTTTAGTGGCATCCTCAATATTTTGGTCGTGTTTGCTTTACATATCTATTAGACAACCGGACGAAATGGTCACAATGTTTCCTTTTATTATAGGTAATAAAAACAATCAGTGTATCTTGCTAAGCATTTATAATGCATTAGCATTTCGCAAAACTACCGAGTGCAGGCGGGATTGCAGACATCTTTTATTTACACGGTCATGTGGGGCGGCTGATTAATTACCCCACTAAACAAAACTCCTTGAAAAAAGGATCGAGAATGGCTTCCCTGTCCTACCGCAAACCGGCCTCCGCTATAGTGTCACGACAAGATAAAAACCACTGCGATGACGAATATTTCAAAACACTGCTTCAGTTCACCCTCAACAGACGACTCGCCGCAAACATTTAGTACAAACAATCATGCACAATACTACGCTTTAAGTGCCAGTTTGATTTCCTGTAAGAATAAACGAAATAAAATCCTGAACAAGGGACGCGAAATTGCGGAATCAGACGCTGAACTTCTCAGAAATTTACGTTAATTTAAGTTGTAAATATATGCTTTACAGAACAAACAAGTGAGTGTAAAGTCGGCACCTTTAATAATAGAAACTTCGTGTTTTTGTTTCACATTTACGTTAAAGTTGTCTGCAATTATGACTCGTCTAGACGTCGCGTCTATATAGGTCGCTGACAATATGCATGACAAAAGATCACAGACAGTTCTGAGAAGCAGCCAACTGATCCTGCTTGATCAAGTTGTATGGAATCGATGACTTTATGAAGGGGAGCGCCGGTGACCCGACTTGGACCTTAGCATTTCGAAAATTGATTGCGCGAACCGGTGCGCATGACATTTTCAGCACACATTCTTCAATCTCGTTGGGCGTATTATGATTTATCATACTAATTACCCATCGAAGCTAGACTGTTGTTTTGACAGACTGAATATTACAAGACGTTTGGCGTACCAAACTGCGGCTGCGTCAAATAGAGCTGTTTCTCTCTCTCTCTCTCTCTTGCGCTCATCGGTGGCCTCCCCAACACAACCTATACGATTTTCTCGCTAATATATTGCTTCGGTCCATGCGTCATGACATTCAAAAAAGGAGGTGGTGTCGCGCCGCAGTTAGGTTAAGGCTCAGCGCACTTTTTCAAAGATTGGTGAAAGTCAAGGTTAAAAATTCTTCACAGAAAGTTCCTAAAGTGATTTTTGAGCGCTACATGTTTTCCCACAATTTTTATATGGGATTTTCATTTACGCATAAACAAAAAAGTACGCATTTGTTATTATGAAAAGTTTCGTTTCACTTATATTTTTACCGCAAAATACTACAAAATATTTCAAGCAGGTCTAGTTCTGTTCACATTTTATTCCATACGTTTATTAACCTTGAGTAAGTTGGGGGTATTGTCATTGAGTTGTAAAACATAAATCAAGTTTTCTTCTGCATGGGCTTTTACTATTTACTGTATCAGAGACGACTGACTTAAATTGGGCTGGTCTTACAACAACACAACAACAACAACAACAACAACAACAACAACAACAACAACAACAACAACAACAACAACACAACAACAACAACACAACAACAACAACAACAACAACAACAACAACAACAACAACAACAACAACAACAACACAACAACAACAACAACAACACAACAACAACAACAACAACAACAACAACAACAAGAAAAGGTTAGTCAGATTCCCGGAAAGGCCTTCGTTTCTTTGTGGTGAAAAGGACTCTGTTTTGTTGTGTGCAGCAGGTACATTTCTTTGTTTCGCATGTACGTCACCACTTTATCAAGGTCCGTTACAGCAAACTGAATATCAAGAGGCGTGAACACCCACTTCATCTCCAGCCTATATGCAACGCACTAGCTTCATCCCGGTTGAATTTGTAAATCTTTTGTACTTGAAGTTATTCACCCATTTGAATCCTTTGTAGCTCGCCTATTGAATACATGGATGAATGCAAAACATTTAGTCCGGAGGTGCATGACTCAACGCACAGTGAACCACTTCCACATAGGGACAGTGAGGCCAAACGGCACCGTCACATCATGAAGTTTTTTTAGCTCGCCTAATGATTGGATAGATGAATGCAAAACTGTGTTAGTCGTGAAGTACACGACGAAACGCACAGACAGTGGGCCGCTTCCCCGTAGGAACAGTCAGGCCAAGCCCGACTGCCATATCTAGGGCCCTCTAAACAGCCCAAGTGAATATAGTGCATCAAGATCCCCGACATTGGTGATCTTGATACGGTATGACCACTTGTCTTCATTAGATTGGTTCGGGCCCCGTATAGAGGGGCAAAGTCAGTGCAGTTTTTTTTTTGGGGGGGGGGGGGGAGGCTGTGGGGGAAGGGATGATTCACAAGACTCAGTTTGTTCGAGTGTTTAAGGTAAGTTTCTACACCAATGCTTCGCGCGTTTTAGTCCGTTGATTGGAAATCGCCACAGTTGTAAGCTCTGGGCTTCCGGTAGGCCGGAGTACTTAGAAAGAACATGGGGACCACCCAGAACAAACACGTATAAGGCGAGAGTGAGCATGAGTGCGTGGTATTGTGCGCGCCAAAGGCTGCCGTTCATGCCTGTCTATTCACACTGGCAGCTGCCAGGGCCACTAGAACTTAAAGTTTAAACGCCCTTTCTTGTCGCTGTTAGCGGTAAAGATACGGCACATTCCTTACAGCGACAAAGAAAAATTTTGCCGCCTTTGGTCATCCTGTTACGATGGAAAAAGATGAAGTCGTTCAAATTTTGAAGTGTAGCTCTCGAATGCAGAAATAAAAACACGAAAGCATCATGCGATTCTCATCGCGAAATTCACCAAAGCAGGATTCCACCGCCTTAGTGCACGTACGCTGATTCAATGTAGAACCGAAATTCTTTTATGACAGTTGGAGACGCATTTATCCAAAGCCATTTTTTAGCTACATAAAGTTGGACACGTCATCACGTTACTACTGCTCCTGCTTCAGATGTTATGATGAAGCCTTGGAAAAGTACTGTTCTGTGTCTTTAGGATTACAGCGTGGAAGGTTGATTGCTATGTTAGGAAATAAAAACTTTCCCTTGACATCAGAAACGGCGCTTATAGTTCATCTTGTTAGACAGTGATGACGACCTAAATATAATGTTCTGCTAAAGTAAGCTTAAGCAAGTCGAACGTCCAAGTTATACGCTCATCAACAGCGCAGTTCTTTAGATACACTTGACTTCTTTACAGAGACATAGGTGTACAGTGTACATCAAATGGCTTAACGGGACAGAATTTGTTTGACTGCCAGTATACACTTTGTGTTAGCTCGGTATCTGGCATGAAGTGAATGATTTTGCTTTTGTAGGTTGAGTACACACTAATCGAGACGATGCTGTTCTGCGGTGAGTTGAAAGCGGCTCTGGTGAGTGGAGACTGTTTCCTCACTTTCGTATATAGGTGTCACTAAGGAAGCGGCATACCTATAGTCTGCTTACATACACCAACTTCTTCGCATGCTACTGTACGTGCACCCTTATGAGTTAGCGCATGGTAAAATACAGACAGCTGCTGCATTATCAGCGTTCTCATGCACGAATGGTAAACGATAAGCAACTAACAGAGGCAGGCGCTTGAAAGGTAGACATTGACTGTGATAGAGTGTGGATACTTCGACATTTAGATGTCTGATCAGGCAAGGAAATGGGCGCAAGATTGCATATAAATGACATTAGGATTCTTACCCTCTGTTATATACATTTATTTAAACAATGGCAGGCTTTTTGATAGATCATTGCCTTGACTACTTGATGCGGAACACTTCAAGCGCTCAGTTATGTATCGCGCTTTGGTATTTCTCATAACGATACTTATGTCAGTGTCTCGGCAAACGCTCGAACTGAACGTTTACATATAAATTAGGTACACGTTCCGATAAGTTCAACGGTACAGGTGTAAGACCTTTCCAGTTAGCACACGTACTTTCAGGGAGTGAAGTCTGCTTGTTCATTCAGCGTACAAGACATGTTGAGTATTCTTTTTGAAAATTGAAGCTTAAATTTTGTCATGTTTTAAATTTTAAATACCAAGAAATATTGCCTAAATAAAGATATATATATATATATATATATATATATATATATATATATATATATATATCTATATATATATATATATATATATATATATATATATATATATATATATATATATATATCTTGATTTTGATTTAGGCTTTCTTTCGGAAAAGCACAGTAAGAAGTTAAGAAAAGCTTCGCTCTAACTTTTTTGTTTCAGCTGTACTGAACCGCCGACACAGCCTTTGTGATCGGAATTCAGTGGACACCATAGAAGCTCGAGGACAACCTGTGGACGTCCTAGGAAGGCCTTTATTAAAAAGTGAGATTTACTTGAACATCATTACAATGAAAAAAAAAAGGTGCGGATTGCAGCATCTACTGACATTCCTCGTAAATGTTCCGAAACTAAATTGAAACATCGTAGGCAGCGACTCATTGGTTTCGGCTATAGACTTCAGAATTATGCATGCAAAAGATGGTCAATGGTCTCTTACATTTTGATATCGGGTACGCGCACAGCTTTATATTTCTACTCTCACTATGTGCACTAACACATCATTTCATGTATGTCAACTCCTAGATGTATGTCGCAAGCGCTTATCCAGTCCAGTCTCCACTAAGAAGTATGTCGGGAAGATGCTAGCTTCCTTTCTGAAGATGCATCTAAAGCCATAGTCCAAGTGATTTCTTTGATGTAAAAAGTCGTGTGTCCAAACTTGCTAGTTTCTTCCTTCATTTTTTTTTCATGTACGTAATTTACGCATTCCAAAAGAATATGGCGAACAATTTCTTCTGCAATACCACGGTGGGGGTCTGGTGAGTTAGACCAATGCATTTTGTTCAGTGTCAATTGGTGGAATCAAACTGTACATTGACATGTTATTTCATCTGGTTTCAGAGTTCTAGTAATATTTTTTCTTCTTTTTGTGCTGGTTGTTCGTTTTGGTTACCGTTCAGTTTTATTTTTTTTTCGCTGCAGAACTTATCAATATGAACTAGCCGAGGTAGTATGGACCTCAACCTCTTTACAGCAAAACAGATAGAACGGAACGGAACAGAGATAGGGTACGAAGCGAATAAAAAAACCCCTCGAACATGTCGGATTTAGTAGAACAGAGGTTATGAAACTACACTTGCCCGTGCGTAAGTTCATTTGACACATATCCGTAAATATGCATTGATTTGGGATAGTTTTGTCTTTTCAAGAAAAATGAATGGCCCTTGATATATTAAATAAGCGAGAAATCATTCTACATATATAGTGAGATTATACGAACTTGCGTACATCGTCATAATTTTACCACATTAGGGCTTTGCGCTACACAGCGCTCTGAAGCCCGCAGTTGCTGGATCTGCAACGACGGCGACTAAGAAATCTACAAGTACGTGTTTTGGTTACGAGCAGTGATAAACGGTGAGTACGAATAAACTGCTCACGGTGAATAAATTGCGGCTATCGACTAATTCGGTGCCTCGAAAATATACGCAGTGATTACTTTTGTGCCCACTACAAGGGTGGTTGCAATGAAAATACTGCAGGAAACACTGGATCGCGCAAAAACAAATGAACGTCGAGGCATATTCTGCTATACTAGTGCAGATGTTGACCAGTATTTTCACGTATTTGACATTATCACGGTATTAACAAACTCGTACAAGCAAGCCCTGCAGAAAAAAAAAACTAGGAGATTTTAAAGGACGTAAGCAGAAAAGAGTAGTATGTCATGCAGAATTATTGCCGACAAGTAAAAATACCGCAACTACTAAAAATTTATCTTCGCTACTTAGCAATACAATGCATATTTCACTCGCTGGCAGTACATGTTGTCCGTAAATGAATTGTAAGCGAGTCTGAGAGCTTTTTTCACATAAAATATTCGCCTCGTGACAAGATATTTTTCTGGAGATCTTCCCGCGTTAATTGGCGAGTAAGAACGACATCACTCAATTTTCATCCACTAAATAGTTCTCAGAAAGGTTGATAATGCGACCATCCGATGTCTTGGCGTAGAAGTTATGACAACTAATATCCCTTTTTTTTTTGCAGCTCTGTCGTCTTTATGTTCGAGACCACAATTTGTTGGGGGGGTGGGGAACAAAAATAACAAAGCAAATGCAGGGAGGTTAATCAGGCACATGCCCGGTTTGCTACCCTACGCTGGGGGAATGGAAAGGGGGAGTATAAAGATGAGAGAGAGAGAAAGAGGAAAAAGAAGAGAAACAGAAAAAAAATGCCAGTCAATGGGCTGACGCGTATGCAGTGGTGGCACTACACAAAATATAAAGGTGTTCACATAGGCCTGTAGTCCTCAAAAAGCACAAAACGGCTTTGACTACTTTTTGAGCCGACGAAAGGCGAGGACGGTGTTGAAGTAGCATCTGCATAGAGTGGCCGATCTTCCAATTGTCGCAATGCGTCGAAAAGTCTGTCTTTCAGAGGCAAATCGAGGGCAACGGGATATCAGATGGTCGATGTCTTCTTCGGTGCAGCAGACGTCGCATTCCGCATTGTCGGTCAATCCGATGAAGGTTGTATATGCTTTTGCGAAGGCAACCCCCAACCAAAGGTGACAAAGAAGCGAAGCTTCACGTCGACGAAGTCCGGATGGAGGTCGAAGTTCCAGTCGAGGGTTTATTTGGTAGAGTCTCGTATGTCTTATGCTTGGGGTGTTCCACTCCAGCAGACACAGACTGCGTGCCAGGTGACGAAGTTGCTTTGCAGCGTCTGTCCTTGACGAAGGAATCGGAAGGGTGTGCTTTTCTTGGTGCGATGTGCGAGCCGCGTTGTCTGCAGAATCATTGCCATTGATCCCACAATGGTCAGGTAGCCACTAAAACTTGACTTCGTGGCCTGCTTCTGTGACGTGGTGAAGAAACTTGACAACCTCGTAAGTTAACTGCTCATGGCAACCTCGTCGAAGGACTGACTGCATGCTCTGTAGGGCTGTTTTCGAGTCGGAAAACACAGCCCATTTACTCGGTCTCTGGAATTTGATGTACTGCCGCGCTCGCAAAATACAAATTATGTAGTTGTTTCAGATAATATGGCGTTCTCTTAAGTGCTGTTACTTTCATGTTAGCGCTTAAGACCAGAACAATGGCAAGCAAATGAAATGTTGCGTATTTTACGTGTTATAATTGCATATGTACTAAATATTTAGCAACACAACAGAAATATTTTAATTTATACGCATGAAGCGTTTTAATTCAGGAATCGTCGCTTCAACCACCCTAAGATGCAGTAGTAAAATACTTTCGTAGATTTTTATCTAGCGTTTCTGAGATTGCAATGCCTTCAAAATGAGCCCTTATATCAATACTGAATTGTTCTATTCATATGCCCACATAGTTTCAGTTCTGCAACACTATAATTGTGGTTTTCCTTTTAGGCACGTCTAGGATTATCTGAAGCATAATTTTGTTTGCCACTCAAATCGCCACTTTTGGAGTAAAGAAGAACACTTACACTACATGTTCTAAATTCTCAAATTTGGAGAGGTTCTTGGCTGTAGCCCGAAAAATAAAATATGCAATTGGAGCTCAACCTATTCGAATTTCGGAGGACTGTAAATCTCGTTGATAGCAATTTGGCTTCAGTGCATAAGCACGGTGCGACCATAGTAAGCTTCAGCATAAGCGGAGTTTTTATGACACCGTCACCTCTTACTCATCTATTTATACACGTTCTCTGGTTTGTTAATAATTTAATTTCGCGTTTGAAGAGAAAAACCGCACAATGAGACTTATCAAAATTCTACAGCGAAGTTTCTATGCTTTTAGTTTCACCCTTGAGCATTTACATGAGATATCTTCAGTGATCTCTGCCTTTTAGCGCGTGCAACGTAATAAATCGGTCGGGGAACGCTCCATCATCATCTTCATCTTCTGCTTCGCTACCCGGATGTGTGCAGCAGACGCATGTGGGGTGCTACAACTCCTATAGGCGAGATAACGAACACACAGTCTGCTAGCATAGCAAGACGTAGCCTTTTAAAGAGAATACACTGTATAGTATAGCAAGCTGGTGGGAAAGGGAACTGAAGGCGAGGAGGAGGAAATGGTGAAGAGAGAGCAAATAATGGCATGCAGAGGAAGGAAAAGAGCAAAAAGAGGTAGAAAAAAAGGGAAAGAAAAGATAGAGAAAAGGTAAAAATAGAGAGGACATGAGAACTAGAGAGAGAGAAAGAAACATAAGAAATGGAAAGAAAGCTAAAATAGCGAGAAAGAGAAGGCATCATATATATAGAGAAAGAATGAGGCAGTGGAGAGAAACAAAATGACATGAAAGTAGAGTGAACAGGAGAAAAGATAAGAAGAGAGGACGAACGAAATAAAAAGTAAAACTAAACAAAGAAGAGTACCTAACTCCACACTTTTCTCAGGCATGGCACCACAAGTGCGAAGCTGCCCTAAATGGACACCAAAGAGGAACAATCATTTTTTGTATTGATGAACAACACTCTGAGAACTATAATGCCATAAGTTTCACTGTGAAAAGTTCACAATTAGCGGAGAAGATCAAGCTTGCAGTTTCATTTTGAAGTGTCCACCGAAATCTCCGCGTGTGACGTAGCACAATTCAAAATTCATTTTTTTTTGTGTCGAAACATTGGCTCTGTGAAATGTTTTGAAACTTCGTATGCTAGGTCTAAGGCATCCACAGAAGGCATTGTACTTCATTTTTATTGAGTAGAAGCTAAGCAGGATACAGGAGACGCCATCAAGATTTGCTACGTCAAGGTGTTTGGCGCGGGAATCTCACAGTGGCGTCTTCACCCACACTTTATTTTCGCGCGTTTCTTTCTCGCTTACCAAGCGTGATGTCGCGGTAAGAATGGTGTTTTCGGGATGCATTTTGTTATTAAGCGAAAAATTGTTTCGTTCTTTAGTGTCCCTTTAAACTTTTTTATGCAGAATGTGATGAGGGAAATTGACGTGTTGGTGATTCAGCAGTTACGTAATGCTGATGCTTTTTGCGATCTGTAGATTTCGTTGTCACACCGAGATGAAGCTGGGCTACAGACGTGCAACCTGTTTCGCATCGGTGAGATTACATTCATTTTCATATTCTTCTTATACACAGAACTGAGGACCACTTAGTGTAAGCCAGCAAAGATGACAATGGCTGGCGGCGTGACATACATCCATTCACATTCATTGCGGTCATCAGATGCCTGCGAACTCACAAACTATGGTGTGCATTTTATTTCATTAAATTTGCAGTTGGGAGAGTTCATTCATATTTCAAGGTAAACAGGTGTGTGCAAATAAATACAAGGACTCAGAAATGATGGGACAGGGAGAGGGCATTTCATATTCAAGGGGTCTTTGTTTTTATAACACACAAGAAAATGTGCAAAATAAGAAAAAATAACGTTTCTCACTCCTTCACTCTAAGGTGAATTCAGTGACATCGCTGCTCTTGTAAGCTACAAAGTCCCACAGTTTACTTGTGCTTCATGAAACCACATATCGCTGTATATGCTGCATTGGTGGGAACGTGCATCGTCAATGTTCTTGCTCTTACGATCCGGATCTCAATATGCTTAGTGTAAGGCTAAACGCTCCGTTGTGAAATGTGAGCAAAATGGCCAGAAGTAGACAGTTCTTCCGTATTTTGTGTAGGAGTGGCTGTTCGGATGTCTGTACTAACTGGAGCACTAAGAGAAGCTTACGTACTGGTATAGACCATTCTCTCGATGAAAAATATAACAAAAATACCGCTTGATTTATGGATTGAATCATTGATTGATTGATTAATTGAAATGAACAAAGATATTATAGTAAGCATTTCTATTATTTACTAATGTTCAGTGTTAACCTGCAGCTTGCTCTTTCAGGTTCTGTTGTGGATGGCTAGCGGTACGTAGACGATATATTATGTGGTAAACCTTCCGTTATCAACAGGTAGAGCGCATGTGTCTTCTGACAATGCAGTTTGCATTAATTTCTCTGTCACTTACTACAAGAAAAAATAATGAAAATACGGCCAAGTCTTACTATATTCCTAAGTTTTCCTCAATTTAGACATGAAAAACAGTTAGCGATTTTTATAATGAAAATTACCTTACGAAAATTTTATAAAAAGTTGAAGGCATGAGCTGTATTTGAAGATACCATAACCGAACTCGCTTGCTGATTAGATAGAATGTTATCTCTATATTACCAAATACAGTGTTTTGTCTGATTGGTGATCAGACTGGCATTATTTCATCGAAGCGGGTTATAACCAGACCATGTTAACTACGATGGATATTCGATGAAACAGGAAACAAAGTTCTTATCTGCATGTCTATGCACTTTTTTCCTTTGCGCTTATGTTTCGCGAGATGAAGTTGCAACACTAATTAAAGTGAACTCAATTATCATTGTGATTCTTACAGCTTCATGAGAATTACTTGCTCGTGACAGATGACTCTTTGGAATAGCGAAGTATATACTAGCATAGTCCCAAACAGCAATGAGTACTGGAAAAAATAAGGGCACTGAAATCCCGAATGCAGGTTATGAGTGAACAGATTGCTTTCTTACGACCCTACATGACTTGCGAGACTGGGATGTAGCCGAACAGCCCCGCATTTCGAAGGTATTTTTCCGTCAAGGTTGAGCAGAAGATATCGTCCTGTATACCAGTCTCGCAACATAATAGGGTCCTTTCGCACAGCGTCTTGCTTATGCGCTGAAGAAATACATGGTGTATTACTTGTAGTACATCGTGCACGACACATGTGTCTCCATACTTCCAAATGACTCCTTATTCTGGACCACTAACTTCTATCCTTCTACGAATACCAACAAGCCGGCGTCGCTATTTTTTTTCAGGTAAGAAACAAGCACACGAACATCATCAATTGAAAGAAATTGTCTTAGTTGCGTACCAGTAGTATTGCAATATGTTATACCATCAAGTTTTCGTTGTTATTTAGGGCTCTTAAGCACTCGTGACATGTCTGGAGTTACGGCCGACGGTTGTGTTCTCACAAGATCAAAATGATTGAAGTAAAACACGTGTCTAGTTTGAGTGGTCGTGTACCATCAATCTCGGCTAGTGGCAATGGAGTTGTAAAATGTAATCCGTTTACGTGATTGAGATAAAGATGATAAATTAAAAGAAAGACAGACTGGTCAACCAGAATTGTAGCTTTTGGTTTGCTACCTTGCACTAATAAGAGAGGAAAATGGAAAGAAAGGGAAGAAAGGCACAAAGTTCAATATGGCCTTGACTTGTCTTTGTGATGTTCAATATGTGCAGAGTAATACCTTAGTGTTTCACTCAGACGTCCTAGTAAAGAAGAAGGCGTGATGAAGCTACCAGTTTTACCCTTTTTCTTCTTATAGTTGAGTGCGCCATGGGCGCACATCAATGGGTGTACTTGGAAACAGTCGCAGCGACCTACATAAAACAAATTAATGAGACGTACAAAGGTGGAGTAAACTTCTGGAGTATAAGGGATGATTTCTCGTACTGGAAACGTCATTATCATCGGGACAAGTAAGTTAACTTCAGTCCTGCTGCTCAACTTGTATACTGCAAGGTTTGCGTACAGTGATTTTGCTAATAAGTTGCCGTCGACAGTTTAACGTCATTTTAGGCTGGTTATTGTACTGATAACACTGTTATTTTATTTGCATACAGGCATCCGGTAAAAGGAGAAGTTGACTGGTCTGAATATTACAGTTGCAAAGGAGAGGAAACTTTGAGAGAAAATGAAACGGACTGCGTCGGGCTTTTCTCGTGGACGATTAACGAAGGCATAAATAGCCCATTTTCTCTATCTACCTATGCTATTCTTCCAGAAGTGTTCAAAGGACTAAACCTGAAGGTGTTTTCATTTAATGTCAATGGTCTTAGGAAAACGTCGGATGAGGAGAAGTGGGGCAAGCTATCCCATAAGGTTCACCGCACTCTCTACGAAGCAAGTAAATCTCCACGACATTTAATATAGTAGTAGTATTATGTACATTCTGTTACGCGTCAGTGGACTTTTAAGTATTGATTGTTCATTTATTCCAGGCTTGCAAGTTCAGTGTGAAGATACAATTTTCTGGCTTCTTTGTGTACTTCCTTTCACATCCTACAAACGGGAATTTCCAATGGGTTCTCGTCCCCATCACCGCACTGGCTGGTAGAGCCAAAGGTCTCAAAAAAGAAGGCGAGAAGTTGACATACTTGGTCCGAGGACAATATACCGAGCAGTTATTTTGCAATGACCCAAAATAAAAGAATCACATGAAATATAACGAAACCAGAAATTAAATAAAAGATAATTCCGAGCAAATGCATGCATGACTACCTCTAGCAGTAGCTTTTGTTCTGGCGAACCGGTATTATGAAGATTTATGTAAATGGAAATTATGCTCTTAACGATGGAGCCAACAGACAAATTTGTGTTAACACAAACGAACGTCACATTGACATGATACTCACATCGCTTAATAAACATTTTATACGTGCATATAGATTGTATGGAACATGTATACTTTTTTATCATTTCTTTTTTTGTCATCTTTACCTTATCGTATCTGTAACATAGAACTGATATATCCGCAACTAAACTTTCTATATGTGTACTTTCGCCTAATACGCCCATTAAGTTTTCGAAAAAAAAAAGACGCACACGTAGTTTTCCTCTAAGCGGTCGGTTGACATAGCTTTCGCTCCAACTGCGCCCCGTGACTCCACATGGCGCCATAGAACACGACACACACGATGAAGTATATGCCTATAGCTTACCTTGCATGTCAGACGAAGGTTTAGGGATTGCAGGATAGGTTCTGCACGGACTGCGCCATGAAATATTGTACAAAAAAAAAAAGCGCTACCTAAATATTCACTGCAATGGATAAGCGACTTCAATCGTTGCGTTCTAGTATAAGAAAAAACTGCTTTCCCAGCTTTTCTCTTTATATATAGTGGCTACAGCACGAGAGACACTGATGAAAGACAAAGAAATGGATTTCGTGTTCCTTATTCCTAATAATACTAAACTAACTTATCGCACCGATTTTGAAAGCACAGCTGTTTAAGGTATCGAAAAAGAGAGCGAGAGAGGTTGAGGAAAAGAAAAGACGCAACTTCTGCAGCCCTAATTCGGAACACGGCTCAGCGCCTGTAAAATAAAGTTGTTTTTTTCTCTCTTTCTCAGCGCCTGTAGGGGTAAAGTGAGGGCATTAAAGGTGTGGAGAAGAGAGAAGAAGAAGGGAAATGGCGTCCATGACCAAGGACGTGACAGGCTGCTTCTATGGCCGGTCATCCAGTCCAGAGTTCCCAAGGAAGCGAATAACCGCCTTGAAGACCTCGGTTCGGTGCCAGGCAGGGAAGAGAAGGTCTCTGTGTGTAGTCGCGGGCAGACCACGGTGACGGAGTGCAGCGAGCAAGATGCCTTGTTGTGTGCGAAGCGCTGGGAATGCGCACAACAGGTGCTCGATAGTTTCATCTGCCCCGCACAGAGTGCAGCAGGAGATGAGGCTCTGCCAAGTCGACGCCACCGGGCCACAGGGCCTGAGCAGCCGATGCGTAAGCGAAGTAGGAGGGACCTCTACCCCCTTTTTTAAAGGTATCGGTAACTTGTATTCCATTGTTCAAAACTGCTCGAAGAGGAGGAGGTGGCTCGTGCAGTAGGAATAGGGCAAGCACGACTTTGAGCGCTAAGTGAGAACTGTGCTCGGTGAAGTGGAGCCCGTGAAACGCTTGAAAGGCAGAGAGTTGAAGAGATAAAAATTACAGGAATGTAAATATCGAAAGAAATTTAGCGAATAACGGTATTAGGAGATGAACAGGCCAGAACATCAACATCAACACAGAGGGAAATAACTACAAACAAAAAGATGCAAGAAAGATAAAGGAACAAAGAGAAGAACGATAATTAAAAATTAAATTCAAACGGAGGAGAAAACAGGCATTCTTTATCGTTTTGGTGGTGCCGCAGTGACTTAAGCTCACCAGTCATCGTAGTGGATCGAGAGGTCGTAACAGATAATCTTTGCTCGCGTTTTTACTTTGCTGTCTAGTGACATTTACTTTGCGGACGTATCTCATTTACGAAAATACGTCATAAAAGTCTAGGTGGACCTTGACATAAATCTGAACTTAACTTCAACTAGGCTCCAAGTTCAACTGCTCCAAAATTACATCGGATCCCCTTTCGATTACACCACTAGAAGCACGAATTTCTGCTTCTTCTTCCTCTGAAGCATTCAAAAGCAGATTTACGACCGTTTGGTGTTGAACGTATGGTTTTATCAAGTTACTGTGGCAAATTTTGTTCGGACGCCTTCCTAATTTCACTTCATAATTGGTATCAGAAAGCTTCGATATTACTTTAGCGGGCCCTTCCCAATGAACCTCAAGCTTGTTCTTTTTAGACGGCAGCAGCAGCATTATCTGATTACGTATTTGAAAGGTGCGTTTCTTGACCGATTTGTCGTAGTACTCCTTCGACAACACTTTTGCAGCCTTTATGTGGCTTTCCACAAAATCTTTCGTTTTTCCAAGCCTCTGGAGGAAATTGAGAACATATGCAACTACATTAAGGTCATCATCGAATCCCTCCCATGACTCGCGTAGCATTCGCAATGGTGTTCTCACACTCCTGGCATACACTAGCTCGGCAGGGCTAAAACCAGTGCTCTCATGAAGAGCTGATCTCAAAGCGAACATAGCGGGAGGAATACACGCTTCCCAGTCGCATTTGTGCTCGTAGCAAAGTGGTCTCAGTATCCGTTTCAGAACGGAATGCATACGCTCTACCGGATTAGATTGTGGGTGACGGATTGAGCTATGCACTACTTTTATTCCTGATTTATCCAAAAAGGTAGAGGTAAGGCAGCTGGTGAAGACACCTGCCGTTGTCGCATTGGATTTCAGAAGGAAATGGGACGCGCGTGAATATAGAGAGCAGAGCATCTACGACATAAGGAGAATTGAGCTCTTTAAGTGTTCTCACTTCTGGAAATTTCGTGGTTACACAGAGGGCCGTCAGGATGTACCAACAACCTTGCTTTGTCTCTGGAAATGGCCCGACAATATCAATTACTAGGTGCCGAAAAGGCTCTGTGATAATCGACACAAGATTCATGTGTGCCTTCCACTTGTCCGTAAATGACTGACGACGACGAAGTTTTATCGTTCGGTTGTCAGTTTCCGTGGCTGGTGAAATTTTTTTCTACTTTATGTGTCGTGTATCTTTGGCACCCAGCACTGCCTGTACTGGTCCTCAAGATCTCTGCTCTGCGGGGGGTACTCTCCCTGCAAGTCTCGCTAAGGAGGAGATGGTGGTGGACTTGCCTAGCGGCATGGGTAGACCTGCCCCTGCAAGGAAGCGGCTCAGCTCTTCAGTGGCATCAGAAGCTGCAGATTTCGAGTCTGATGCCACGTCGGATGACTCGGATGTATTTCTACCTACTAAGCATCGACGGCCAAGACGGAAGTCCGCGGCATAGTCCTCAAGTGAAGAGAGTGTAATATACAACAGCATTGTGACTACGACAGTTGCTTATGTGTCCTTCGACGCCACGGTAAGCCTGAACGCTCTCTCCAAACAGAAGCTTCATGACTTTTTCTTCAAACTTGCCCCTGGCCTGATTCAAGAAGTTCGAGTGAATCCCAGGAAAAATATCATTGCCATAGACGCAATAGATGAAAAGATAATGCAGACCCTGCTAGGTCTATCTCGGCTATGCAACGTCAACGTGCGGGTGTTTGCTCCACAGGACGCTAATGTAACAGCTGGGTTTATATCAAATGTAGACCTAGAACTTTCAGACGACGTTTTTAAAAGTATGATAGTTTGCACGCCACCATGCAGAGTCACCAGTGCTCGAAAATTTGGCTCTTCAGAGTGTGTGAAGATTCTTTTCGGGTGTGAAAAGCTACCTGGTCACAGAAAGACCGCACTAGTGTGGTACCTGATCCGACCTTTCATACCAAAGCCTCTACAATGCCGCGAGTGTCTGAAGCTTGGACATGTACAGGATTTCAGCACAAGTGTTGTGGTCTGTGCTAAATGTGGCGCAAATCACAAGTTTCGTGACAGTGCGACATCTCACTGCCTTAACAGTAATGGCAAACACTCGGCAACGGACAAAGAATGTCCCAAGCCAAAGAAAAAATGAAAGGTCCAGAAAGAGGAAGCTAAAAAGATAGGATCACGAGAAAGGACACCTAGCCATAGCAACCGTCAAGTAGCTGGCAAGGGCACAACTAAAGATGCAACTCTACGTCCGAAGAATAGTACAGTCAGATCGAATAGAAGCGACGGAGGGAGGTGCGATTTCAGCATTTCGGCAGCATCGTGGCCGGCGCTTCCATCAAGGCCGTCGGACGCTCCTCAAAGGTCACGCCTCATAAAGATTCGGAACCAGCTTCCGCGAAGGTCATGTCTGCAGTAGAAAATACTGTAAGAAGGGCGTCAGAAACGGCTCCAGCCAACGATGATGCCAACTTGTAACCATGCTTAAGATGCTTGTTAACGTTGTCAAATCTCTTATAGCCGGTCGTCAAACGCCAGCAGCGTTAGCCGCACAGCAGCTCTTGGAGGCTCTCGTTCCAGTTCTTGACAGTGTTTACTAAAAGCAACATGAACACCCATCGCCAGCCCCATCCCTATGCGCTGCATTGGAACTTCAGGTGTCTACGACCGCGCCATTCTGATCTCGTTCTTAGGCTTCTTGCAATGAAGAATCCGCTAGATGTTATAGCTCTCCAAGAAACCAATGTGAGAAATGACGAGCTTAGACTTCCGAGTTTCATAGGCATTCACAGCAATACCCGATGCACTGTGATGACGTGCGCATCTTTCCAGTGCAAAAACACCACGCATCCTCGAAATGCTTCGAAAGCGTCGTAATACATACGATCTGATGTTAGTTTCACAGTGATTGACGAAAGTGACCTTTGCGACGCCGACTTTGAATGTGTAGCAGTTGCTATTAATATAAAGAACACAACTAAGACTGTGGCAAGCATATATTTTCGGCCAACGCGATCTTCGGACATCACATTGCTGGAGTGCCTGCTATCTCGGTGTAGCTCGTCATTTCTGTTGAGTGGAGATTCCAATGCCCTTCAACCTCGTTAGTGTTGTCGCCCACTAGACAATCGTGGAGTGGAAATGAATGAGCCTATTGTTAAACATGATATGCAGACCCTTAATGACGGCTCATCCACATTTGTCGGCAGAGGAAAGGAACAATCCACAATTGATCTTGCCATATCAACGAGAGAAGCGCGTCTTACTTGGTGAAGCGAGGCTGACCCAAGGGGTTCAGATCATCTGCCCATT